GGTCTCACCTTAAGTCTTACACCCTTGCTTCCTTTATATATTCTGTATTCTGTTTTGGATAACCTTATAATCAAATAAAAGTCTTCAAAATCGTCATCTGAAATCATCTCTTTCATTGGACTCTAATTTAACTTTGGCTACAATCCCTGTGGACGATAATCCGGTACTTGTACCACTTTATTACTTGAAAAGACGACGTTGGGCCGTATTGTATACTTGCTTTGTGGCCCAATTTCAGTAGTCTAAAGGTGTGAAATATAACCGACCAGTCATCGTATTATCTGTCTGTCGAAAGGTTTAAAATTTACATTTATGAAAGGTATATAATATTCAAAAGTTCAAGAAAGTTTAACTGTACCTCGTAATCAATAAAAAAACCTCTTGAAATGGACAAAAAAAGAAAAGAACTCTTGAAATCAAACAAAAAAACCAAAAAAAAAATCACCCAAAATCAGGAAAAAAAAACTAAAATTTTCCTCGAAATCAAACAAAAACCCACTAAAATCCCTCGAAACAGAGGAATTAGGCTAAAAATACATCAAGCAATATTGAACATTAGTAAAAACATGAAAACACGTCGATAAAAGACGTGTTTTTTGTAATTATTTTTGTCTATGTTATATGGTGCCACCCTATAAATTTTTTTTGGGTTCATCCTATTTTTGAAGTGTCTTAATACACTGTTTTATAAGACCAAAAAATAAAATGTCTTATTTAACATGTTTTTAAACGTCTTAACAAGTTTTTTTAGGATACTTTTAACAAAAAACGTCTCATCATAGTTATTTCATAAAACACTCTTGAGAAAGTGTCCTATAAACCTATCTTTTAAAAAACACTTGTTTTTATAAGACATTTTTTTCAAAAAATGTCAAATAAAAATAGCTAATACGACGTTTTTTTATAAAAATATTCTATAAAACCTATTACGACGTCCAAAAACATCTTATAAACTTATTATAATGCCTTTATATATGATACTTTATTTTTTGATCATATAAATAAAGCTTGTAAAGCGGTCTATTAGATAGCTTAAAAAAAATTTGACGTCCTATAAACCCAATCTTATTGTACTGCATGAATACGTTTTGTCAAATGCATTGAAATATCTAAAAGCGCAAATTCATAAAGTTCAAGTGAATCCCGATACACACAAACCAACAGAGGAAGAACAATCATTCTTTATACACTCACATAATAAATTCGTTTCAATTTTATCATTCTTTGCACACTCATATAAAAAATTATTTTACTTGGTGGAGAGTCGTCAGAAAAAAAAACATATCAGATAGAGATAGATATACTATTTATTGTGGCTCACGAGTTTGTCCTTACACGTAATTGCATAACAACGTGGGCCACAAAGACAAGGGTCCCCACAAGAAATATTTACAAACTCTGTATGGTAAAGGGCATGACAATGAACTATGTGAAGCTTTTTGATGTCGTGTGCAAACTAGCATCGATCATCATATGGGTAGTCAAAAGTCTTGCCACTTGTTGCATGAGACTGATGATTATCCACACTGTAATCAATGTCATTTTGCACTTGGTATCGAGGAGTTTTGACTGGTTCTTTACCACTAAACTACTTCTTCACGAGACCAAAACTTGTAGAATGCCATGGTTATGGTTATTCTACAAGCTTCGGTCCTATAAAAAGGGGTGATCGATGGTGAAGAACCAAGCGAAACACCCGCAATACCATGATCAAACTAACACTGATCAATGTATGAATAATGATCAGTCTCATGTAACAACTGACAAGATTATCGATTGCCCATAGGATGATCAATGTCAGTTTGCCCACGACAATAAGAAAGCTTCACATAGCTTGTTACCGCCCCCTTTACAAGACGGAGTATTGTACAATAGTCCTTGTCAAGACCCTTGTCCCCATGGCCAACATTGCTATTATGTCGCGGTAAGTACAAACAACCACGATAGATGATATCTCTATCTCGTAAGATCGATTTCTTCAGCAACATCCACAATGTATAAAGAAAAAAAAAGTATATGGATGCACGAAGGATGGCAAATTTGAAACAACAAAGATGTGTATTAGTTTAGATCCACAAAAAGTATAAAAACGCTTACCAATAAGCGTTTACAAGCCAAAGGCAAGTGACATCGATAAACGCTGATAAACAGTACATAAATCTTTATTTAAACAAATTTATATTGGAATTTTAACATTGTCCTGAAACTCTTGTTCGTCACCCAATCATAATAAATAAGAAAACTAATTTACTATGACAAATGAGAACATATATTATAAGAAAATGGGTATAGTAACAACCACCACTGTTAATAACACTATTAGAGGTGTCCAGAAAGTCAATCAATTCAACCAAACCGACCTATAATGATTGGATATCCATTTGTAATTGGATTAGATCAGATCAAAAATTTCAACATCCAATTTGTATCGTTCGGTTCTTGGATGACAGTCCAAAACCGACTAGAATCGAACCGAACTCGTCATCCAACTATCCATCAAATGGATAACCAATTATCATCCAACGTCCCATTCAATTATCATCTAACAACTCATCCCGTCATCATCCAACTACCCATGGAACTAATGATTAACATAATATTATTTATATAAATTTAAACTGGAAATAAAAGGTATTTATTTTCAAATCTGATCACATCATCCATTGGATGTTGGATCGATCCAATTTTAATATTGGTTGGATTCAATCTGATCCAATGAATATCCATAAAAAGATCCAATCATCTATTGGATTGGATTGGATCGATTGTCTAATGTTAACGTATGATTGGATTGGTTCGGTTTCTCACATCCATTATCAACGAAGACCTAAGCATTATTATTTAAGCGGTCATCTAATACATCATATTTTATTTCATATAGTTTTACGAAATGTTTGTTTATCGTGTACAACTTTTTTAACATATTCGTGAAACAAAAAATACGCATAAAAAAAATTCATATCATGAGATGAATACAATACGAAACAAATATATACTAGTCAATATATTAAATATATATAAGTGATGAAAAAAGAATATGTGAAACAAAACCTTAAAACAAGGTTGTTACATATCTCATAAATGGCTTAAATAAATATCAAGATATGTTACATTTTTGTGAATTTTATTAAAGAAATACGATTCACAACTAGAAATAATTGCACATCCAAGGGTGTTTAGGTTTGCTTATCAAAAAAAAAACTTATTGACTTATTCTAATGTGGCACCAGCACAATAAACATTTTTAAGCGTTTGGATAAACAATTTATATCAATGTCAAAATGGTAATAAAAAGTTTTTAAAAAAATTAAATCATTCTAGGCTGTTTCATACATACATATATATAGATGCATCCTTGCATCTTTTTTCCCCATATCAACAATTTCTAAATTCAAAACAAAGATGAGAAAAGTCCAAAAAAAATCCAATGTATTTTATTGTTTGGAATGATTAAGTTATTGGACAATTTTTTAAAACAAATAAATCCTTGGACATTCTAGAATCTATTAAATAATTCTTTGGACTTTTTAAAATATGTTAAATAGATCCTCATATTTTAAAAATGTATTTAACAGATTTTAGAAAGTCCAAAGAATTATTTAACATATTTTATAATGTCTAATAACTTATTTAACAGGTTCTAAAATGTCCAAGGATTTATTTGTTACAAAAAATTGTCCAAGGATTTATTTGTTACAAAAAATTGTCCAAGGAGTTATTTAACAGGTTTATAATGTCCAATGACTTATTTAACAGGTTCTAAAATGTTCAAGAATTTATTTGTTCTAAAAAATTGTCCAAAAACTTAATCATTCCAAAAAGTAAAGTCTATTGGATTTTTTTTGGATTTTTTCCTTTCTCAAATTTTATACATATTATAGAGTAATTTAGGTTTTTATTCCCTGTCGTTTGTCGAAAATTACTACTTTTTTCTTTATTTGGACCAAACTTGTTCCAACCGGCGTTCGCACCTTCAACGCGTTTACGTACAAGTTCAACGACACAATGACTTGAACGCACGTCACTTCCGTCCAATAATTGTCTGACACGTATGTCAAGACACGTATTTTAACCAATCAGCACGCGACAACCTGGAGTATTATTTCCAAAGTCAAAACCCCCATCCAGACATCAACCTCTCGAAGCTATAAATAAGCAACGGAACCTGCATCCTTTTTGTTACCTTTCATCATCAAAGCTTTTCAACAAGATTTTGCGGTGTCGTAGCCTCGCCGGAGCAAAAGGGATAACTTCTGACTTTTTCCGGTGGTCTTCCGATCTTCGTACATAATTATGGTAATGTTATTATGGATCTGAGTTTCTGATGTCTGAGATTACATATCATGTACATGTATGCATTCGTAATTCAGAATCATTCTTTTTTTACCTATATGAACGATGATTTACTTCCATTCTTTTGAATAATCATGCTAGCGTTTTGATTTTCGCTTTTTAATCGCATTGTGTTAATATCGATTATAGAAATTAACTAAGGATCGCGTTCATGGTGACTTTTTCCCTTTGTTTTTTGGGTTTCAACTCTCAATCGAATTGTACAATCAGTTATGGAAGAACCTACTCGGAGATCACCTACGAAGGTTTATTTTATTGGTTTCGAATCCATCTGTTGTATTTGAGACGTATTGCGATTAACAAAGATCAACTCATCAAATTAGGAATTAATGTGTTGTAATAATAATAAAATGCACATATTATGAAAAAATTGAGCTTTTACAATGTAGTAGCGAGAACAACATTCTATTATATGAGAAAAACCTCTGTTATTTCTTGAGGATGTAGTTTTGCATAACCAGTAAATGTGTTCAATTTGACAAGAGTTGGGTGATTTAATTGCCAAATTTCTACGAGATGATCTATCTACTGGAGTTGGGTACATGTGCTCAAATTTACAAGAGTTGGCTGATTTAGTTTTGCATAACCTATAAATGTGCTCAATTTGTCTTTGATATGTTTCTAGTTTTCCATAGAGAAACAAGCTTCCATGGATAAAAAGAAGTAGGAAAATCGTCAACTGTTAGAAATGAAAGGCAATAAAAAGAAGCTCGAAAAAGATTGGAAACATTGATATGACTAGAGGGTTATAGGAAAAAGAGCTGCAAAAACTTGCCAAAAGCAATGTAGTTTTATGAAATCTAGTAATATTCCATAGATTTTTAAGCACCAATACAACCATATATTCACCGTCCTCTTTATATGGCAGATTGGCAGCCATTATTGACGGATATCTTATCTAAATTCAATCCAGAAAGAAGATTATTTAGCGTAAACTATTAATCATACCATTCATCTCATAGCGAGTTAAGTCATTTGGCTAAGAATAGGAGTAATCTGCATATAAACCCTTTAATTTAGTTGAAAATGGGGTGTTCTTCTTTGTCTTAACAACCTTTTGATCTCGAGATGGTTTAAAAAGCTTTCCACATGCTACTATGCTCCATAATTTCCCCCTCCTCATGGGGTTCCTGTAGGGACACTAAACTGCATCATTCCTCTTCTTAATTCACGCTAGCAAACTTTTCTTCAAACAAGGTTAACAAACTTATGATCATACATACTCATTATTTGTATACTTCTCTTAGACAACGTCAAGGCGTCTTGCGGATAAGAAGGTAGGGAGGTTCGATAAGAACATCACAAGGCGTGGATCTGTTCCCGAAACATCCACCAAAAAGGGCAATAACTATCCTGTTGGCCCTATAATGCTTGGTTTCTTTGTGTTTGTGGTCATTGGATCATGTAAGTTAACCCACCACCTCAACTATGTTTTTGTGAAATGTATTCTTCTTCTTACATTGCTGCAACTTTGTCCAAAATTGTCCTTGCTTTCTAATTTGTGGGTTCCTTCTATTTTTCCTCCAGCTCTGTTTCAGATAATCAGGACAGCTACAAGTGGGGGAATGGCTTAATGATCAATAGGATTAGGATATGCCACTAATGGCTGCATCTTCTACTTTGTAACTTTTACTTGTAGAGAATCATTATTACTTGCAAATCCAACTCTTTGAAATCTATGAATTTGCTCTTTACCTTTTGTAGACAACCTTTTGCTGCAAAAGCAAACTAGAGTTGTTTGTGGGTGTTAAACCAAAACCTTTCTGTCTTGTTGAAAAATGGGTTTAAACCAACCATTCTTGTGAACATTCAGGGCCGTTTACCCAAACACTTACCCGGTAAGCACGTACCAGTAAAATTCAACACTATCATTTACTTACCGGATAAGATTTAGTCCAGCAAAACGACATTGCATGCAACAATTTACCCGGTAAGCGCTAACCGTGGTAAGAGTCATCGTCCTCACTTACCGGGTAAGACTCTCGGTCCTTGCGTTCGCTCTTACCGTGTAAGATTCTTAGTCCTTGTCATATTCATCCGGTAAGGTAATGTACCTCAGTAAACACTTACTCGGATAAGTGTTTGATAAACGGCCCCTAAGTTTATGTATTAATAATCTCCATATACTTCTTTTTTAGACTTGAGCAACTAAGCCTATTTCTTGTTCATTAAGTCACTTGCGAACAATTATATATAACTTACTGAATAAGTCATACATGCTATATTAGGGGTGTAAATGATGGGAGTTGAACTCAAGTATCAATATACTTGAGTAGAATTCCGTAGTCATTTCTCAAGCTCGAACTTGACTCGAAAACTCGTGAGTAGTTAAAAACTAAACTCGACTTGAACTCGTTTGCAACTTTCGAAACTTGAACTCGTACTCAAATCAAGCTCACCCATCGAATCAAATTTAGGGGCCGTTTGGTTCGCGGAATTTGAAGGAATTTGACAGAATTGGAATGATAAATTTCTTTGACCAAATTCCAATTCCTTTGTTTGGTTCATTTCTTGAAATGGATGGAATCCTTCAAATTCCAATGAATTCCACAACTTAAAGAATTCATCATTCCTTAGCATAATGGAAGGAATTGAATTCCATCAACACCCACAACGACCATGCTATTATTGTTTGTGATGCCCCACTCCTAACCCCCCACTACCACCACCACACCACTACTGTCACTGCCACCCACCCTACCCCACCACTAACCACCATGCCATTACTATTGTCATCACACGCACCCACCCCCGGGCCCCGGTCACTCACTGCACATCCCTGCTACGACCATGCTACTACCGTTACTATCACRCCCCTAACCTAACCCCCACCACCACACCATTATTGTCGCTATCACAGCTGCCATTCACCCCCACCCCACCCTACTCCACCCCACCACTAACCACCATGCCGCTATTGTCGTCATTATACTCATCCACTCCCAGCCACCTGACCACCATCCCACCACTGTCATCGTCATAACTGCCACCCATCTCCACTACCCC